TAAATATATATAAAAAATAGACTTATCAGTGTGTTTAATGCTTGCTTTCACTTTGGCTAATTGTATGCATGATCTAATTGCTACCCTATTTAGTTGCTTAGAAAAGAGCTATTTAGGTAAAAGTGAACCCCTTGAGTTGATCACAAGCCTCGCCCGATATTGGGTGCTTGATTGTGTAGTGTGCTCGGGAGAGACCTAAATGATTAAGAGTCACCCCTTTCAATTGATTAAGAATGTCCGTGTTCATTGCTATGCTACTGCTCATCACATTAATTATGCTTGACTCCCCTTCTCTAGTGAGGCCTTTTTACTTGGTTTGAATGAATTGATTCTTATACTCTGTCACATGGGTTTTCCGAATGCAGAGTATTATCTATCAATTCAGATTATTATCATATTTTTATCTCTGTTTATAATCTGACCTTCTTATGTCAGTGACATTTAAATGTTATATTTATGTAATTTAACATGTCATATTTTATAGGACCTATGGCAACAAGTAGTCCAAATTCTCCTGTTGACTTAGACCTGGAGGTGAAGATGAAATTCCATGTAATACGAGTGGAGTGTCGGTCAACTCTCGAGGTAGGAAGTTGAAGTCATTTGTTTGGCAGCATATGGAGAGGCAAGTTTTGAAAGATAAGAGCATTAGAGCCACTTGCAATTATTGTTGTTCAGTTTTTACCACTAATAAGTGGTATGTCTCATCTTCAAAGACACGTAAATAAATGCCCTAAGCGAATTAATCGTGATATTAGAAACTTTTGCATTTCTAGTACTCCATCTAGTGGTGGTACAAGCAACATGTCTTTAAAAGATCCTAATGTCAATATTGAGGAAGTGTGTAGAGTTGTTTGCATATATATTATTGCTAGTGCACATCCGTTTTCTACTTGTGAGGAACCTGGATTTAAGTATTTGGCATCTACCATGTGTTTTGGGTTTTTTTGATGTGTCTTGCGGGAGAGTTACAATTCCTAGTATGTGCCACCGACGCCTGTACCTGCAAAACCACGAAGACTCCGGTTGGTGGGAGCTCCGCCTCCGACGATCAGGTCAGTGTCGTACAGGAGGAAAAATAGTGCGGAAATGGTAATTACTCCTCGCTAATACAGGAGGATTCTACAATTAATATTGCTCGGGACTGGTGTTTGTATTTTTGGCTGTTTCTGAATGCCCAATAAATGAGGTCTGACCCACTATTTATAGTGGGGAGACCAGTACCCCATCTAGGGTTCAAAGGACACGTGTCAACAGGGGATTGGCGCCTTGTTGACCTATGGTTGGCTGCCACGTGTCGCAAGGCCATTGGGCCACGTGTCTAGGGTAATTTTTACTCTAAACACCATGTGTCCTAGAGTTAATATGATTAGTAGGCATACATTAAGGAGAGATGTTTTGAAATATTACAATGATGAAAAATTAATTGTCATGGATGATTTGCACAAAGCTCCTGGTCGAATATGCTTTACTACTAATAATTGGAGAAGTGAACATACTGATGATGAATATATGTGTATAACTGCCCATTGGATCGATACCAATTGGAAATTACGAAAAAGAATAATTAAATCTGGGGCATTAACTCCTTTTGACGGAGTTGAAGAAAAAGTTCTATAATATTACTGAAACAAGTTTTGGTATGAAAAAAAACAAAAGGTTGCGAGGAGATAATTGTATTAGATGGAATTTTTTTTTATGCTTGATCGTTTCATCTATTTTAGAGATGTCATTGAGCATGTGGTTACTCGAGATAAGGATATTAGAGTTTTTGCTCTAACATTAGATGAGTGGGATAGAGTTTGTGCGTAGCATGAGTTTGTAAAAGTACATTATGATGTAACAAATAGTTTTTTAGCTTCAAATAATCCCACTTCAAATCTTTACTTTGATGTGTATGGAGGGTTCATATAAAATTGATAGAAGTTGCAAATGGATCCCTAGGTAGTTTGACTTTTATGGCTAATATTGGTCGGATTATAGTCTTATTCTCTCATGTGCTGCTGTTTTAGATCCTCGATTCAAGTTAGAAAGGGTTGAGTATTGCTATGAAAAGTTGTATGGGGAACCTTATGCTAGAAATATGGTTCAACGTGTTAATTCTACTTTGTTCGACTTGTTTGACGAGTACAAAGATACGCATGTTGGGAGTTCTCCAAACCAGGCCACTAGTAGTAGAACTAGGGGTAATATTTCTAGTGTTGATGGAAGTGGGGTATCGATGGATGAGTTATTGGAATACAAATTATTTTTAAGTAAGAAAAGGAAGGCGGATAACATGAAGAGTGAACTAGAGCTATATTTGGAGGAGAAGAATCCTGAAGTGACAGAGAAATGTGACGTTCTGGCATATTGGAGTAAGAGTATGGTTCAATATCCAATCCTTGCAATTATGGCTTGTAATATTTTGACTATCCCCATCTCAACTGTACCTTTTGAATCCGCTTTTAGTATGGAAAAAAAATTGATAAATCCTTGGAGAGCCTCTCTAGGAGAGAAGACCATTGAAGTACTTGCATGTTATGAAGATTGGTTGCGTTCAAAGGGCCTTAAATTAGGTACAATATTTATTTTTAATATAATTGGTCCATTCTTTTTATTATACTATAATATACCTATAATATTATTCTAATCTTCAATTTTTTTTATATTTTATTTATTAAGGTTCTTCAACTTTCTTTGGTTATGGGGAATTAGCTTATGACGATGAGGAAGAGGAAGCTGAATTTGGAGTGAATGATGAAGATTGTGTTAACATTGAGTGACATTACAAGTAAGTATCCTTACTTGAATAAATTGCATTAATCATTTCACACTACATGTTGTTTATAAGTTTTTTTTGTTTGTAGAATGTGTATTTCTGACATATCATTGGAAGGGGCAAGAGAGAGAATATTAGAATTTGAAGAAATATTGTTTATTGATATCAAATGGTGAATTTGGTGGTCAATTATAGTCATTGCATTTTGAACTTGGACTTTATGGTTTTAAAGTTTTAAACTGATGTATTAGAGTACTACGTATTTATATTTCTAAATTGACGTATGTTGGAAGGTTTAAACTTATCGTGGCCTAGTACACATGAGTAACAAAGTACTAAAGTAGTTATGAGTGTTCTTTTTTTTTTTTTTTTTTCCAAGTCTTGCATTTCATTCACGGGTTTGCAGGGTGCATTACAAAGTTGTGAATTTGTGGAATGTGGCTGCTATCTGCAAAGTGCTTTGGGACCTTACTCATAAATCTGATTCTCTATGGGTGAAGTGGGTGCATGTATACTATTTCAACAATAGGAATATTTGGGATGTTCCTGCTCCTCAGAAGAGTTCTTGGGTTTTGAGGAAAATCCTTAAATGCAGGGAAGTTATTGATCAGATTGGTGGATGGGATAAAGTTAAATATGGGGGGAAAATGCAAATTAGGAAGGTTTATGATCTCCTTAGACTCCAATCCCCCAAAGTTAGTTGGAAGAGAGTAATTTGTAATAACAGAGCCTTTCCCAAAAGTCTTTTCATCTGGCTTGCCATCTAGAATCGGTTATTGACTAAAGATAGATTGATGAGGTGGAACCTGAATTGTGACCCTAGCTACTTGTTGTGCCTGCAAGCGCCTGAAAACACTCATCATCTCTTCTTTGAATGTAGTTACTCCCGGAGAATTTGGCAAAAGGTCTTGGATCTTCTAAAATGTAGGAAAGTAGTCCAGAACCTTGATTTGGAAGTTGAGTGGGCAACCCACCATTGCAGGAAATCTAAACCTAGTGGCCGGTTACATTTAATGTTCCTGGCTGAAGCGGTTTACAGTATTTGGTAGCAAAGGAATAAACTATATTTCAAGGCAAATGTGATCCAATAGAAGTTGTCTTTAAAGAAATTGTTTTCAAAGTTGCTTGTCGATGTTTGGAGGATGATCGGAAGCTACTTATGATCTCTAATTGAGCTTTTGGATTGTTTTGACTAGGTTTTGGTTGTTATTGTTTGCTGCTTTCCTTGCTGCCTTTCCAGGTGCTGCTGCCATCACGGCCTGCTGCTTGCTATCCTGGCTATGTGTTGGGTGTTGTTTCTGCAGGTGCTGGCTACTGCTGCCTGTTTTGCAATTCTGGCTGGTGCATTTGCTCCTTGCCGTTGGTGCTGCCTATTGTGTCGCAACTGATTCTGGGGCTGCTGGTGGGTGCTACTGCCGCGCTAGTTTCCTCCTGCTGCTAGTTTCTCAGGCTGCTACAGCATGCTCCCCTTCTTGCTGGTTTGTGTTGATATTGCAGCTTGACTGCTGTCCTTTTCTTGCTGCTGGGTGCTACTTGGGGTTGCTGCCTTGGTTCAGCTTGCTGGGTTTAAGTGCACAGGTTGTTGTTTTTGCTGTTCTTGGTTTTATTACTGGTTGTTATCCTGTTCCTTTGGTCGAGGGTGCCCCTCCTAGAGGGGAGCCCTCTTCCTCTGAGTTCAGGAATCCTGTTTTTGGTCCTTGTCCCAAAGGAACCCTTCCTAGAAGGTGGCTTTTGGTTCCCGGAACTCTGGCTTGTGTTTTGTTGCCCTTTGACTTGTAGTTTTTGGTGGGCGATTTTCGCCTTATGGCTTTGTACTTTTATTGCCGTTTTGGCTTTTCTTTATGGTAATGTTATTTCTATTTACCAAAAAGAAAAAAAAGAAAAAGTTGTGAATTATTTTTTTCTATTGCAAAGTAGTAGCTTATACATAATTAAAATATATATATGAAAAAAAAAAGTAAGTAAACAAGCCCGTTAGCCCGTGGGCAGCCCGCCTCTTTTAAAAGGGCGGATTGTTGTAAGGTTAGTTTTTAGGGCCGGGCTTCCATTAATCTAGCCCGTTGGACAATTTTAATAACTTAGGCCCGACCCATGTCTGGCCCAAGCCCGCAAATGATCAGCTGTACCTAAAATATGAGTAGTGAAATTACTGTTCGTTTGCTGTTACTGTAGCTAAGTAACAGTTAATTTCCTTCCATACCATTTGTGCTTGAATTACCGTTTTGTCCTTACTGCTTGTTTTGTTTGTGTGTGCTAAATTCACCATTGTTGCGCCATTATTTTCTCTCTCTACTTCACCACTCTTCTTGAGAAATTCGGCTGAAAATGGTGATGTTACTGTTGCAGAACGATCATTTACGTTTCTAGGGTTTCGTTTTCGCTCGATCGTAATGATTCCTTTGTTTTTCATTCTGAGCATCAGCCGTAGTAGCAGCTGCAATTGCTGTTGTCTTCGACATCGACGGTTAAGTTCGTAGTCGCAGGCTTTGGTTCCTTGACAAGGTTTGTTCGTTTGCAGTTAATATTTTGTAATTTTGCATTATTTCCGGTAATTCATATGTTAATTTTACTATTGGATGTGTTGAATTGTTGAGTTTTCATTTTTTGCCAGTTGCTAGGGTATGTGAAATGCTTAGTTATGTTATGAATCCATTCCTTCACCCTCATCTCCCCTAAAATTTCTCACCTTACGCCACCTTTACTTGTTTTTACAGTGTATTTTTCGAGGTTATGTTACGGATTTTGAGTAGATGGCAAAATCTTCAATTGGTAACAAAAAGGGAATCGGAATCGTTGTTGCCGGAGACAAAGCTACCGGTAAATCAAGTTAATTTTGCTGCCAAATCTTTGCTCCATTGTTGGTCTAAGATATGAGTAGCTGTTAGACCTCCAAAGGTAATTCCTTTTTTTTTCCGCTTTTAATTTTGTTAGGGTTTTGATTGAACAATTACATCTAAAATTGTGTGTGTGTGTGTGTGTGTGTGTGTGTTTTTTTTTTTTTCTCCGGGGTTGGTGTTCAATAAATATCAGGTTAGCATTTTTTTCATTTCCTTTCTCTTATTTATTTAATTAGTTTTGTGATAGGTTGATTTTCATTGATTTATTGATGAATTTGATCCTTTTTCATTCAATTTTTGGCTTTTCTTCTTCTTTGGATTACAGGAAACTGAAGAGTATTGTTGATTTGATTAAGGAAGCCAAAGGAGATGCAACTAAGGAATCCATTAAATTAAACATCGAAGAATTCAGATCAGCTCTCTCACAAGCTGACTCTCAGATGAAGAACCTTCCGGCAACTGCCCAGGTGCAACTTCGTCCATATGATTTCACTAAATTATACTATAGATATTGTCTTGTTGCTGATTCTCGTTTTATATTACTTTTGCGATTGCATTACAGGTTGCTGCCCAGCAAGGTACTTATCTAGCTGACTGTTTTAATCGTATGGAAGAGTGTGAAAAGAACCCTGAAGGCCCTATCAGAATCAGAGGAGAAGGTCAACATCGGTTTAAACCTTTCAGGTATGAAATTGCTGCACTATTTTCTTCTTTTCTCCACCTATACTGTTTTAGTTTTCACCCATGCTTAAACACCCACACATTGGCCATCCCACGGACTGTTACTAGCTAATGCTTGTGAGCAATCTATTATAATAGTGTTCTTAATTATAGTTAGATAATATCTATTGGCCTGACTGGAGAATATTAAAATGCACAAATGCTAAGCTGCTTTTGGCACACGATTCATGCCCCACAGACATTTTAACTAAGCTCCCTAAGGCATTTTTGATGTTACCTCTGTCCACTACATCATTGATCTGAAATCTTACCTACAAAGCAACAACTAAAACAGTTATTTGGGGAAGAAGACATAAAACCTCAAGTGTGGTTGGATATATGAGCTGGAATAAAGGCTTTGACTCCAACTTTATGTGTTACTGTTACTGTCTCCTCTATGAGTCTGTGATCTTGTTTAGATATCAATAATCTTGTTTTTATTCATCTTCATGATATTAGCGTTCATGTTTTAGGGATGAGTTGTAAAGACTAAGGAAGTGACGGTTTATATGATTCCCCCATGTCATTTTGACCTAAATTGGCATGATTTACTGCAAAATGCAAAGCCTGTCATGAATTATGTACTGAGTTTGGTGCTGAAAATTTGTTTTGCTTAAAGGCATCGGCATTTTGGTCAATTTGCTCCACTGGGAGCTGCAGCTCAGCTTCCTGGAGATTGGGTGTCCATTGGACACAGCACTCGGTGGTTGTGGTACTCCGTTTACGCCAGGTACAACATTTTAAAATCGCTTCCATCTTGAACCCCAATTCGATTTGTAATAGTGATTAATGGTTGAAATTTCTTAATTATATATTTTTGGATTGAGGGTTTGATTTATTGGGGTTTTATTGCACTTTGTGAGACTGCATAACCGATTAGTTTTTCTTTTTTTCTTTTTTTTTTTTTATAGATTTTCCCCTTACAATGTCTGTTATTCCTCTTAGTATTGCTTATTTATGCCTCACTATAAACACCAATTAAGACAGCCCTGATTATGGAAGCATTGAATTTCACAATTTCTCAGGACTCAAGTAACTTTTTTGCTTAATAATCCATCGTGATTTATTTTAATTTCATTTAACAATTTAGTTAATTTATTGTTGACTAATCTAATTTAATTTTTATTTATTTTAGAAAGTTACATGGTTTCTGTTGCTGTCATTGCTGTAGGATATGCTCTAATTGCTGCAATTTCAACTTGGATTAGTTGTTTAGTTAACCAGGCTTGGGTTTTCTTTATCTCTGATCAGATTTGCTTCTTATTCATAATATAAAAATTTCTGGGTTTTCTTGAATGTTGTGGAAATTATTGCCCCTTATATTTCTGAAAATTTGAACTTGCATTGGACATTATGTATAATCCTTGTTGCCAAATCTAAAAAAACTGTATGTATTGTAGTGTATAGACTAATTATTCTGGTTTGAATTTGATTTTATGTGGACAATCTGGGTTTTCTTTAAAAGTTGTGATCTTTATATATAGTAATTCCCAGACATTTCCAAGGTTGGAAATTCCAAGCTTTTTCAGAAAGTTCTTCATCTCCAATTCTCAGCTTGAGGAATCCTTCAGCAATGTGGGTCCCATTCTTTGCTGTTTTATGGACACCAAGAAAGGTTTTTTCTAAATCCATTTTTACTATTTGTCTGTAATTAATTGTCGTTAATTTACAGGATTAAATTAATTTTTCTGTTTTCCTATTTTTTTGATGTTTATTCTGTTTTCTTTGTTTTGGAATTTATGAATTTGCATTGCTTGTGATTTACGTTCTCAGTTTATTAATTATTGTTTATTTATTGGATTGCTTTTGTATATATACTTTTGTTATAAGAACGAAAGCCATATGTTGGAAATCTTTGACTTAAGCCAATGTCCTTTTACCGACAACGGTTTAATTGTTATTATTTTTCTGTAATATGCTATGTTTTTTTTTATGATTTGTGATATGGGTTTATCTTGGTTGCTGTTAAATTTTGGAAATAGAGGGTTAATTTGATTGGTTTTATGCAATTTTGTTGGAAATATAAGTAATTATTCACTTTTGTAAAAAAATATTTAAAATTGTATAATGAATTACTCTGCTTCACATGTCTTTGTTCCAAAGTAGAGAAAAGCAACGACTTCACTGATTTGAAGACCTTTTTTCATTTGAAACAGTTCTTAGCCTTTAAAAAAGGGTAAAAGAAGGCGAGGAGAGACGAATGTCAGACATGTTTTGATCTTTTTATTCATTCTTAAATAAAGCGATGATTGGATTTAATAGTAGTAAAGGAGCTTGTGATTTTCACTTCTTTATCATTGTTATAATGCAGACATGAATTTGAGGCACTTGGAGCGTGTATTAGCAAGGGAGGAGGAAGTTAAGGAAAGAGCTATTGTGCATTAAGCAATCTATTCTGGCCCACCAATGCGGTTATCATCCAGTAATGGCAAGTTTTTCCTTCTCTTATAGCAATGCTTACTGGTCCCCTTTGAACATTTTACTCATGTTGCTGGTGTACATACCGCCAAGTATGAGGCTGCAGAAGAGCTCAATCATGTCTAGGAGATCATTAAGTGGGGGACTGATTACTTTCTCAAGACCTTTAATAAATTAGCTGATTCAATCAGTATGCTTGTGTCACAGGTAGAATAATGTCTATTTGTTGCTTATTATTAGTTTGCCATTTTGGTATGCTTTTACTATTTTTCTTATACTGGAATCAAGGTTTCCTGTTCATAGTACAGTCTGTGAAATATAAAAATAAGTCATGCTGAATTATATTATGACAGGTTGGGTCAGGTAATACCTCTGGTGGGAGCACAACTCCTAATGATCATTACTGCTGTGTAGTGGTTACTCAGACCTTGCTGTTGAGATGGCTGCTGCTTTGGCTTTAGCTTCTATTGTTTTCAAGGATAATAAGGCATACTCTCGGAAACTTGTGCATGGTTGCTAAAACACTATACAAGTTTGCAAGAGACCAAAGAGGCAGATATGGTGAAGGCAATGAAGCTGGTAATATTGGATGATACACGTGGTTTTCGGAGAAAGAATCAGTCAAAATCTAAGGACCAGAGATCTGAAAGCTCTGTTTTCCAGGAATTTAAGAACTGATAACAGGGTAAAAGGGTCCTTAAATGTGGGATTGCTTTCTCTGTTCTGACCTCAGAATTTAATCAAAGTGTTAAAGAATTGGTATGTTTTCTGGGTTGATTCTTAATTTTTTAGAAGTTTGTCTTTTTGTTTGAAATTTTGAATGTGTATGGTTTTGTTTGATTTCTATAATTATAATTGTAAAAATGGGTTATATGTTTTTGGTACAGAAATTGAGCCAGCTTTTTTTGAAAGTCCAAAAGCAGACCCCAAAAATGTAGCTGCAATTTTACTAGGTGGAGGTGCTAGGACTCGCCTCTTTCCTCTTATTGGCAGGAGAGTAAGCCGACGGTATGATCTTGTAGAAAGTTTGAAACTTTGCTCATATCTGATCTTTTGTTACAATGGGTATAGTGCTCAATTAAAATGTAAAAATTTTGTAGTATGATGTAGAAAGTTTGAAACTTTTTCTCATTTAGACCTTTTGTTATAATATTCAAGTCAAATGTTATATGAATGTTCAAAACGCTAATCAAAATAAACATGTAAATTGGTAATATGTGAGTATATTTGAATTGGTGGACTTAAGTTGGTGAAATGGTATACAATCTCTTTTTTTCTTGTGAATTTTTAATGATATTGCACTGGTTCTGTTAGTTTTTAGATATTAGGTTATATTGATAGGTTTTTAAGCTCTATTGTTACTTTTAAAATTGAAATTTGATGAATTGTTTGGTGTTGAATGTTGTGGGTAGTTGAAATATACCCAATGATTATATATATGACTATTATAGCTTGAAAAAATAAATTCTACGTTTATATTTTCAATGTTAGCTCGAGCTTGAATTGAGTTACGGAGTATGAATTTATGGTTTGAGTCAAGCTTTCATTTCCAGCTACAACAAGGCTCGAGGCCGAGTTTTAATTGGAATTGAAGTGAACTTTGAATTTAAATCATTGCATATATTTAATCCCTTTTGGAAATTGTAATGTGAATGTGAAAGTTAAATCTTGTTCCTTATACATGAATTATTGATGTTTCGGGGTTTTTTGATGTCCTGCGGGAGAGTTACAATTCCGGGACTGGTCTCTGGACGCCTGTACCTGCAAAACAACGGAGACTCCTATGGGTGGGAGTTCCGCCTCCGACGATCAAGTTAGAATGTGTTTGAGGAGTAAAGTGCGGAAAGTGAAGTCCCTCTCGGATTCCAAGAGAGAATCTGTAATGTGTAATTGCTCAGTTCGAGGTGTCGGATGTCTGACTTTCTCTGATTGTGAGTTAATGTGAATTAATTGTGTTCCAGAGGGGGAACATCTCCCTTTTATAGGGTGTTTGGAAAACGTGCCTAGTACTAGGTTTCTAAACCTAAGACTGCCTGGGCTTTGCCTAGGAATTTGGGCCGTTAGAGGCCAGTTTCCTGTTGGGCTATTTGCCTGCCACGTGTTGTGGCCAGATTTGTCCAAGTTGGACCTCTCACGAGGTGACACGTGGCGGGCTCTGGTTGGTCCAAGTGGATGTCACGTGGCAGCGTTTAATTGGTCCACGTGGCGGGAAAAAATTCCATTAAGCATTTGCCCCTCACGGGGGTGACGTGGCTTGCCACGTGGCGCCTGTGACAGATGTCACCTCCTGATTGGCCAAACGGTTTTTACTGTTTTTTTTTTTTTTTTTTTTTTTCTGTTTTTGTTTTTTACCGTCTCTTGGAATTCACCCCCCTATAATTAGGGGATGTCCAAATCATTTGTTTGGACATTTTCCAAAAATTCTAGAGAGCTTTGTCTTTTTCTAAGAGAGAACTTCCGACTGCACCAGATCACCTGTTTTTACAGACCGCCTGCTCTTACAGCCGCTGTAGATTTTCAAGTGCCCTCTTTCAAGTGCCCTCATCTTCACCGACTAAAGGTAACCGCCTGTTTCTTTTAAATTTTTCGCGCTTTCTCTTTGTTTTTCTTTTGAAAATGGTTTCTTAAAAGCACACGGCACGGCCTAGGTTAGTGATCAGCCGATCACCGGGGACGGCTGAATCTAGAACTAGGAGTGCTGACTGCCCCTTGCTGGATCGCCCTTTGCGAACTAGCTCAAGTCCGAGTGTTTGTGAAGGACACCATGGCCAGAACTAAGAGAACTGCAAGGGTGACAAATCTAGACGGCTCTTCCTTATATGCGCCTGTCAGCGAATTGTCTGACGTGCCGCCTGGTGCCCCAAGTATTCCTAGTGATTCCATTTTAGATGAATCAGGGATGGAAGTTCAAAATGATATGCAGCCTTTGTTGATCTGGCCCACCAGGCGGACACCAAGTCCGAGAGCTCAGATAGCGAATCTGAGTCAAGTACCTCTAGCAAATTCTCAGATGAATCTGAGGAGAGGCACTCTCGGATAGGGGCCGTGAGAGAGTCCCTCTCAGTTGAATTGAGCAGATTGGGCGGAGCCGTCTGCTACCCGCCGAGAGCAATTTTCCGCCTACTACCATCATGTTCCCGCAGGCAGGCGGAAGATGATGGCCGATAAAATAGGGAGCTTCAGAGCAGACCATATAATGGGGCATGGTTACATTCTATGCGTGCCGGATGCTGAAGACATCGTAGTATGAGGGGTACTACTATCGGGATGAGTGTTTTGGCTGCTATGAGGCGGCTATTAAAGTTGGCCTTAGATTTCCTTTGCATTAGGCTGCGGAGCGAATATTGGACGGATACTAGTTGGGTGTCTGGCAACTGGTCCCAAACTCTTGGTTCAACGTATTGGGCTATGTTGCCGGCTGCGAAATGCATCAAGTAGAGCCCAGCTTCGAAGCATTCGCCCACATGCGTTACCTCAGCCGGACCCTAAAAGCAAGCGGGATCGGCTGGTTTCAGTTGTCTAGCCATTAGGGCTATATGATGACTTTGGGGAAGGAGAGCAAGTGGAAGGATTGGAGAAACACCTTCTACATCATTTCTTGCCCTGACAAAGTCATGAATAAAAAATTCAACAGGTGGAACAGGAACCCACCTTTCCTTACAGGCGGTTCGAAGCTGCCGCCTGTTCCCCGCAAAGCAAAGTAAGAGATCCTTGACAGAGGACTCTTTTAAGTAGATATTCAGGCGAACCTCGAGACTGGGGCGAGGGAGTTCATTCCCTAAAATTATATTGCAGCACCATCATGAAGCGGACATGGGGGGTTCTCTTCCCATAGACCAGTTATGACAAGTGGGAGAATCAATTTGCCGCCTTCACCAAAGAATACAATTATCTGATTCTGAACTAAGCCCAAGAGGGCGAGGAAGAGGAGGAGGAAGAGGTAATTGATTCAACTTCTGGGGAGACGGACTAGGAAGAGGAGAAAGAAGGGGAGGTTGAGGAAATAGAACAGCAGCCGACTGGGGACCAGACGGATGCGGCTGCTGATTGTGATGTACCCCCTCCGGCTGATTGAGCTTTCCTTCTTTTTATTTATCAACTTTTCTTCGGCCTGCGTGCCGTATGCTTTGTATCATTACCCGACCAAGGGGTCGGGGTTTATTTGACAATTTCAACATTTCTGTCGGTCTTATGGCCGACTGATTATTTGAAACATCCGACAGTTTTGCCGGATTTTTTAATTTTTACTTTGTTTGAATTTTTTCCTTTCATGAATTTCGCCAAGTATAACTTGCCTTTTTGTATGAATGCAATTTTTCAAAATGCCGATTGCTTTGGTATACCGACTGTTCTTGCCCCTGACCGCTGTGCGCCTGATTTTCTAAGGTTGATGGATTGACTTGGAAATCTTTGATACTTTTAGAGTATGACTGATTTCTAGGTCAATCAATCACTATAGTGATTGCCCCAAAAGCAGGCGGAGAGGCGACCATTCGACAAACGACCATACACTCAGCATTATTCGGCCCTCGACCTCAATATAGTTCTGTATACGAACCATGCTTTGCCACTAAGTTTTGTACTTAGTTTATTATTGATAGTAAATAGTCCGTCTGTTTGGTACTTATACAGAACAGGCGCCAAACTGGATGTTTTTAATTGAAGTAGGATCCGCCTGTTCGTTGTCAAGCGATAGCTTTAATAGTTTTTTTTTTCCTCAAAATCCCATCCAAGGGGTATTTATAGAATGGGGACTTGAATCCCATTTCATGATCAATGTGAGATCATGTGCAATTGCACTAATTTATTTAATTATAAAATAAATTATTAAACAAATGCAATCACATAGCAACAAGTAGCAAGAGGGGAGAATGGGCTAGGTGAGGACCATATCCCATGGGGGGACCATTGCCTTGCTCCCCAAGGAAAGCCTTGAGGCCTTGGTCCCCACCTCTCCTAAACCGCCACTCACAAAGGGCAGCTGGGTTGGCAGCCAGCTAGCACGCCAGCACACACAAGCCAGCTAGCGTTGCCAGCATGCACTGCCAGCACGCACTGGCCCAGCATGCCCAGCAGATGCGTGCTGCGTGTTGCTGGACGCTACTGCCTAGCCAACGCACACACACACACGCACATCATTGCTGGCTGGTGCGTAGTGCTGGCCCTGGTCTCTCGTACATACATCGCATAGCCAGCATGCGTGCTGCTAGCGAGCCACACATGCTGGGCATTGCCTCGCCAGCCACACGCACAAGCACGCTATTGCTTGGTACTGTGCTAGCGATGCATACGCACATGGCGATACTGCCTAGTGCTGTGCTATGTGCTGCGATGGTGCGATGAGCAATGCTAGGCCTTGCCTAGCGCCAACGCCTAACATGCAAGCAAGGCCTAGCCTTGCGATGCTTGGGCGCATGGCTTGCTAGCATATGCGCAAGCACCTAGCACGCCTAGCGTGCTAAGCTTGCTATGAACTAGCCTAGCCTAGCACTCACATGGCTAGACCAATGTGATGCTACGGCTATGCTCGTACTTGTTGCTTGTGATTTTGCGACCCTCGGTCTCGACGCTCTAGGCTCGATATCCGACGTCTGTGTTCGTAAAACTCCGACGACTCATCGAATCTTTCAGATTGATTCGTCGTCTCGGATCGGTTGTTCGATTGGGTTCGACCCGAAGGGTTCAGTTAAGATTAAGCTGTAATATTAATTGTACCTTAATATTACTGATCGGAAGCGGCCTCCACCTAGGCATTCCGATCATTTGACCTTACTGAAGAATTAACTCTGTAATAATTCTGAACCCTCTATCAGAATAATACATTTGTTGGAAGGACACCATTCCTTTCACAGCCACACATAAGACGGACTGTTATGATTTAATAGGCGTGTCGCGTACCTAACAAAAATAACTTAACAAGACCATTACTATGTAGAAAGGCAAGTAAGGATCGAATCCCAAGAGACTATGGTTTGACTAATTACACAGACTTAAATAAATACTAAGCAAGTAACCAAAGTAATAGTGAGAATTAATAACTAAAAATAATTAAAACGATTAAATCTAAGTAATTTGACAAATCAAATGCTAAAAATATCAAAGATCAAGCATTACCACGAATACAGTTAATGCAATAGTCGTTCTACACCAAACATATAATTCAATTGATTAATGAGGAAAAGTAATTCCTAAATAATATCAATGGTCTCTCCCGAGTTATCAATGACTTCTTTAATCACAATCAAGCCTACCTCCGTGGAATCATGTAAATTAAAGACTTGTAG